ATAGCTGTTATTGATTTCACGCACACTTTTATGACATTTCACTTATATTTATTTATTAATGTCTAAATGAATGCGGTATCGCATTCAGGCGACGAGGATTACACGACACCCTCATTTTTCGTTTGAGAATTATGTGAGAAAAAAGAAAGCATATTCTAACACGTTAAATCTCTGTTTGGGACCGTTTTTTAAAACGTTCTGTGAACATAAAGTTCACGAATTAACACAAGGTGTATTGACGTCTCACAGCACCCTATTCATATGCGCAGTGCAATACTTTACTCTGCTTTTTTTAACTGTGCGTTAGGCCAATCTTAGGGAAAAATTTGAAGTTCCTTTATCGGTCACACTGTAATGTTGGAAACGCACCCCCTCGAGACGCTCTAAAGCGTGTCGATGTCGTCTTTTTCGTCGCGGAGACGGTGGTGCAGGATATCCGGAGGTCAAGGAGCTTTTCGAGGGGGCTTCAGGCGAATTTTATCTCGCTCCGCGCGACAAAGACGTAGAGCTCCTCGTAATGTAAAATGTAATAGATCGATTTTTTCTCCAACGACGTGGCTCATCTATTAGCCGCGGAACACAGGAGATCCATCCGTCAAAGCAGGTAATGTGCATTCGTATTAGGATTATGATCGTCATCGTCTTTTTATTCTGACAACTTACCACAGTAGAAATCTTGCCTGGAAAAATCTGGATTTGGAGTTACCAAAAATTATCGCGGCTCCCGGAGGTCCTGCGCATGACCATGAGGCGTTGGGTGCAAAAAGGCATTATTTGGTTGTGATGTTTTGGAATTACCATTTCTAATTTATATTTTAGAGAGCAAACTATATCGGGTGAATTTTCTGCAATGTTTCGGGTTTAGCATTGTAATATCATGAAGAAAATTTGGTAAAATTTTCAGCGAAGTCCAAAAATTGTCTCTAATTATATTAAATGAAACGTCTGATAGGGATTCTGAGACACCGCAACCAAAAAATGCCCTTTCTGCAACCAGCGCTTCAATAACCTCAGTTCAAGTCTTACCTTTATGATTTTTTTAGAGATATATTAAAACTGAAACTAAAAGGTATCTAAAGTTGGTTTGCGGTTTTTCAACTTTTTTGTTCCACACTAATATTATACAGAAAAATAAAATCGTATAACTTCACTATTTAATTTGCTTATTGTACACAACTTCCGAAGGAAATTGAATTGAATTAAATAGAATGTAAAGCGAATTTAAAAAATAGTCAACTTCCCGTAAAGAGAAAGTGATATTTGACAGAAACCTCATAACACCGCAATGTAAATACTTCGGTGGTATTATTCGAACTACTCGTGCCTTAACGTGAAATATAGCAAAATATTCGCGTCATATTATTTTATTTTCTTTATTTTTCCGACGAAATACTAGTGATCATTATTTTCGGAATTTGAATTGAGTTAAATTCATCGCACACAGAATATCCTGTGAAAAGAATACAACAACCAGATAAATTTTAAAACGCGAGCAACGCGTGTTTCGACCTTCACCATCGGCGAGCACTATCTCAGCTTGAGCGTTGGCTTCATTCGAAACAGTGGCATGGCGTGCTTTGCGACATATCGATTGATCGGTCATTTAAACCGATGGAAAAGTATCGGTAAACAGGGTTTACGCAGCGGACACCTTAATAATCGATTATTTACCACAGCTTCAAATGGGGAGATATCGATGGATCGCAAAGCACGCCACGCCACTGAATCCGAATTAGCAAGGCTGATCTGAAGACTGGCATCTCAGCGTCGATCTTCTTCAAAGCGACGTGAAGCGCGACGTACAAGTGGAGCGTGGGCTGTGACTGAAGATGGTATTGATGACGCCATCCTTTCACAGGGAGACGTGAAGACGCGGCCGCTTTCAAAGTTCCATGTGAGTGGAAAGGACGACAGAATACGCCCATCAATTAAAGGGATAATGAACGGTTTATTTTAAAAAGAAGCTGGCTTCGTATCTATTTTTAAGCGTATAGGCTTCTTTACTTACGAAGCTTATTATTCTGTGCTTTAAATATATTAATTGGTAATCAAAGACCAACAAATAATGGATTTTGTACTTTTAATAGAATATAAAAAACAAGACCAAAAACAAAAACAAATATTAAAAACTGACAATGTTTTTCGTTTTTTTGTTTGTTTAAAAGAATGAGGTGTTTTGACAACTAATTTGATAAAAAACCTCTCTAAAGTACTCAATAAATATTCTCTATTAAGATGAATGTTTTGTTAGGAAACTATAAAAAACGATTTTTGAAAAAGAAAAGAAAAAAAAAGGAAAAAAAAACCGGCGCTCCGCTTCGCTCCGCGCCGGTTTTTTGGGGGGGCTTCGCCCCCCCAAGCCCCCCCAGGACGCGCGCTTCGCGCGCGCTTTTTAGTTTGAGTGTCCATTCCAGTTGTTCTGTCTTCTTAAGCAACCCGCGCGTCCACCGCGGGAAGAGTGTATTTTCCGAAGGGGGGGGGGATCAATCTGTAAGGGAATGAATTAAGAATTGAAACAGAAGTTGAGTTGTGAGCAGGTGAGTACGTTGTGAGCAAGAAGTTGCGTACCTTGTCGCGAGAGTGCGCGGCGAGCGGGAATCCCACTACTGCGCTGATTGACCAGAGGCGAGAGTTGCGGACGGACGATGTACGAGAAATTGCCTACGTGGAGGCGGTCCGGCAGCAACATACCCACCGGCAGTCACCAGAAAGCAATAGCACAAAATAGTAGTTGCGTACGTTGCCAGCGAACGCGCTGCGAAAGGTTGTGACGGTTAAATGGTGAGATTTTGTTCAAGAACAGATCATTTAACCTGACCCACTGTGCGACGAACAATTTGTCCAGAATCTTCCTTCCCCTGACCCACTGTGCGACGAAAAGTTTGTCCAAAAACTTCTCTCCCCTGACCCACTGTGCGACGATCAGCTTGTCCAAAAACTTTCTCCCCCGACCCACTGTGCGGCCCTGCTCCGGCCGGCTCCCCTCATGCCGCGCACCCCTCGCCTAAAACTTTCAAAGCTCGCCATTTTTAAACGGCTCGGCCGATTTAGCTCAAATTCAATACCAAACCAGTCCTAGGGGAGAACTACCGCCCGTAAAAATTTCAGCTCAAAATATTCATTTTCGCTCGAGTTATCGAGTGGACAAGATTTGACCTCCCCCCACTTTTGAGCCCCACCCCTCAAAATCTTTTGCCTCAAATTTCAATTTTTTTTCGCAGAATAGTAGTTCTAATGAGTCTCTACTAAATGCAAAAAAATTGGTCAAAATATCTTTCAACGTAAGAAAGATATAACTACTCAAAAATCGAAAAATCCTAAAAGGGCGGAAATACATACATACATATATACATACATACATACATTAAATTTTCGTTTATACTCCTATATATTTTCAAAATTACCTGTAAAGACGTTAATAGCCTGAGTCGCTGAATGTCTCAAAATTATAATAACTAACTAACTAACTATATATATACACATGAATTTGAATGGCATATATTTTCGTGATCTACGACCCGTGATCGATGCTCTTCACAAGGTCTCGGGTCTGGGTCCGACATCATGGGAGAATGCAATAGTGTATTTCCTTCGGAAAATACACTAAAAATATGTTTCGACAAAAAAAAATGTCGACATACTCACACTGGAGAAAAAACACATTGCATCTAGAGTCCAGACTCTTGAAAACGTTGACAAGAAAAAATACTCTTGATTCAATCGGATTTTTGCTTGAATTAAAACGAAATCCGCTTAAATTCAGAGGATTGGTTCTTGATTTAAGCTAGATTCTGATTGAATCAAGAGTACTTTTTCTTGTCGATGTTTTTAAGAGTCTGGACTCTAGATCCAATGTGTTTTTTTTCCGGTGCAGGTTAAGTGAACCCGTTTAAATACATTGTGCATTTTCTTCTTCTTCTTTTCTTTGTTTTTTTTTTCATGACCGTCAAGTATGTTATGTAACTCAAAGTACCTGCAAGAAGGAAGTATACATTCCATTTCCCCGAAATCCCATTTTTCACCTCGCGGAAATATAAAAATATACCCTATTTCAGGGGAGTACTGAAACGTTTCAGATTAAATCGCGCTGAAGCCAATGTACGTGATAGCTCCAATGAAGAGTATCTCTGAATTTCGGTTTTGATGACTCCGGTGCGTCGGACTGGTCTGTCGCAACAATGAAGGATTGATTGACATCAATACATGAATAGATCCCCTGGACTGAAAATTACACCAATTGAGCCCTGCTACCCCACAGTATTCATGTCAAGAGAGACCGCGAACCATTCACCGTTCCCTGATCTTGCTGTTTGAGGAAAATATCAATCAAATATTGAGATATTATCCTCCAATTCATGGATGTAGAAGGGACTGGTGACAACGTGACAACTGTCCTTTTTGAAAGCTAATGCGTGGCTAAAAAGGGGGAATCCTAATAGATATACTGGTCATTACGATAGGCCAAGAGACGATGAAAATTGAAATCTGGTTTGCCAGGAAAGGTTTTTTTTTACCCCTATACACAGTACACATTCGAATACATTTACTTTTCACGACCGAATTTTCTTTGGTCGATTTGATACGTACAGTGCTTGAGTCACAAAACTAAGTATGGTCGTTTAGGAGTTAAGTGTTTTTTTTTTTTTTTTTTTTTTTTTTTTTTTTTTTTTTTTTTTTGTATTTTCGAGAATAATTACACCGAAAAAGAGTGAAGTTGATTCAATATTTTGAATGTAAAAAAAAAAGTGCAAGAACTTATAAAATGCTGAATTACCCGCTACAACAGTTATTTTAGCAATGCCAAGATGTAGGTAAAACTAACTGCTGCGGCAGGTAATTCACCATTTTTTCAGTTCCCGCACACTTTTTTTTACATTCAGAATGTTAAATCAACTTCACTTTTTTTTCGGTGCATAACTTGTCAAGAGTCGAATTTGAAGGGATAGACTAGTTATATTATATCAAGAGAAGATAAAAATTACAGTAAGGTATAAGACTTGTATGCCTCACAAAATACATTTATTTTTCTATACGTTGAATTTTTCCAAGTATTGACACATAATTAGTGGTCGAATCCCAAAGCAGAGTGATCCGGCCGGAGAGTTCCATATTTTCCGAGGAAAAAATCCCATGAAACTCGCAATTTTTTACCACGGTAGGAATCTAGATATTCCAGTCCTAGCGCCGGCTGCTTGGGTTAACTGTCCGTTTAGTCCATTCTGTCCACTTTCTCCAGCCTGCCCATTTCCTCCATTGCGGTTGTTCCTACGTGTACGGCCTGCTCCTGCTGTCGCCGCCGCTGGTGCTATTCCTTGTCCCTGCGGTGCTGACGATGACCATCCCGGAATCCACGACGTGATCCATCCACCTCCGGTTCCGGTGACTGCTTTACCGGCGTCTCCCACACCTTGAATACCACCCTTAACGGCATCGGGCACCACGGATCCTCCACGCTCCACCCAGTCCTCCATGTCGTTGAGCCGGTTCACGACGTGGTTCTTCCCGTCCTGAACGTGACCTTTCACCGTTTCCACCGTTGATTCAAAACGATCGTTGACACCGTTGATCGCGTTGCTCACCACAGTCGGGGCTACCGGAAGCACGAAGTTCTTCAACATGAAAGTCAAGATAAATGTGTGGTTGAGAGACGGGAAGATCAATTGGACTACATATCGTCTCCGGCCAAAGTATCACAAGCGACATGCGATGTTTTAAAATTTCCGCTGCCATTTTATGATTTTACACAGAAATTGTCTATTGAACCAGCTTGAACATTTCACTAAATTATAAAGGCGGCACAAAGAAAATTCCGTGAAATTTTCGGACAGTTTCGTTGAATAATTTCAACGACCGCCACCTTCAGACGTTCCAAAATTTCCGCCGTCAACATATTTTTTTACAGAGAAATTGTTCAACGAAACTGTCCGAAAATTTCGCAGAATTTTCTTTGTGCTATCGATATAATTCAGTGAAATTTTCCAGCAGATTCAACCGACGATTTCTCTGTAGAAAAATAAAATGGCGGCGGAAATTTTAAAACATCGCTTGGCGCTTGTGATACTTTGACGATTTGGTGAGGGTATTACAATTCGGAACTTTAATATCTGGCTCAGATTTCGGAGCAATGTTTTCAACATTAGTTTCCCTATGCATTCAGTTGTTTTTACCGATGAGCTAGACATTTTAGTTGCTACTTGCAAAATGAAGTCCATCACGCGAGTCACAATGCAAAATCAAATTGTGGCGGTCCAGTCAAAAAAAGCTCGCAATCCAAAATGAGATATGTTCAAACGTCAAGTTTCGACGTCCACCGTAAAAGTAGAAGCGGCCTTTTGTAAACACGGAAAATGCCAACATTCCATACATTGATGCATACTATGAGTCCCTTTACCTTGTTCTCATCAACAATGCAAGTTGGAGACCAGTAAAAAGTACATTCATCATTGATTGATGAACCAAAGTAGAATAAAATATATGGTATGCACCAGCCCAATGAGTTGCCATTCAAAGCTTTCTACGCACCGTAATGCGTCGTTTCCTCCAAGATAGGACGTAACTATATTTCAATGTTGCCGAATTTCCTCTCGCAAATTGCAATTTTAACTGTAGATTCTTGGATATTTTCAACCGAAAAATTCACTGATTTTTCATCTGATCTCATACATAAATGAGACAAATTTTGGTCAAAAATTGCACAGGAATATTCTTGTAGAAAATCGAATTGTTTGAGTCAATTTTGCAACCTTGGAATGAAGTTGCGTTCCTTCCTCCGGGAAATGACAAACTGCTTTACTAAAATGAAAATCGGAAACTTGGCATTTGGACGAGCGTTTTTTGCGTATCTGCGAGTTTCAATCATCAAAACACGAATCTGTCACATGCACAAAGAACCCATCGTCATAAACACCTCGTGAGTACAAACAGTTTTTTTCGAGCGAAAATTAATTTCGCAAATCAACATTCGTTTCCACCCAAGTGTGATGGATGCATGTCGAATTGGAAAAAATATGGGCGCGACTCTCTCGGCAAACTATTCATAGTGACATTCATGAATCATTAAAATATGAGTATGAGAGTTTGGACATCATAAAAGATAACTGTAACCCGCTACGTTTGGCACCAGCACACAAATGGACGTATTTCCACCAAACGGACCTATTTGCCTAATGACATGAGCCCTGTTTTGCATATATTCGTATGGGTCTCAGGGTTCATGTGTTAATGCACACAGTTCCGTTTGGCAGAAATACGTCCAAATGAGAGATACGACGAAACACGGAGAGAAAAAATGGATAATTGAATTTGCCGCTAAAATTTTTCCATGCAATCGCGTGTACATCCGTGTTCTCCAATTGAAGCCCGTTGCCAGATTTACAAGTAAGATAAATTTTAAAATAGATTTCTTACCGAAATTCATCAAAATAGGTATCAAAGAAAGCTTCTTCATTGCCGATGTGCAAGAAATTTAAAGTTGATTGAATGCTCGTAAACAGCATGATTGTTGTAATAAAAATCGCATCCATATTATAAAGCTCTGTCTATTTCACCGTTAACAACACTTCTAACTCTCTCACATACTCAGTGCGAAGCGACGAGTATATTTTCATAACTGCTCTACCGTGGATAATTGATTTCCGCTCGGGCGAGGCTGTCTCATCTTGCTTCCGGTTATACGTGATCGTGATGTATCAAACTATATTATCGACTGAGATACGGAATAAATTCTTCAACATACCACAGCATGAATTATTGACTCGGTGACAAAAATAAATTCGTGAAAGTTTCTAAAAAATATTCATATTTCCGATAATTTTAGGGCCGACTACCATATCTTTACTCTTACTGATTTTCACAATTACAGAATTCCGGACGGGTGATTGAAGAATTCAAAGACATTTACCATTAAACCATGCGGTTGGGACACGGAAAACATTTTTGTCGGAGACACAAGATAGATAAGTCAAGAAGTGTTCTTGGATCTGGCCTGCGTCCCACATTTACCGGCCTAGGGCTGCGAAGCAAATTGGGGCAAGGATGGGATGTGGGAAAGATTATATAACGCAAATCTTTTGTCGCCGATGCAAACCGCATTCTCCGAGCGTGGTACACGCGGTACAGCATAGTTGTCTGAAATTATTGTAGGCCGAGTATATTTTAGTCACCCCTCTATTTATTGAACACAGAGTACATAAAGTCTTAATGTAAATGAGAGAGCTGGCAAGATGTTCTGGCCGACGAGTTCCGAGCCCGGTGTGTGCCGAGTTTCGGTCATTTTTCAATACATGTTCGATCCAAAATGGCGGTGTGGAATACGTACTACTTCCTATCTTCTTAGTTTACTTTGTTTCTTCTTCAATCGATTAGGTACCGAAAAAGTAACCCGGCGTCCTCCAGGAGTCTCGGAATTCGGGACCTGGAAAATGCTTAAAAGAGGCGCCAGCTCCCCCTTGTTACACCACGACTCTATGTACCCTATGTTATTGAATAGTATTTAGCCAGGAAACTTACATTCAAGAGCTGCTTATTACGGTCGTGCATGTCCAAGACTCCATTTAGAGTCTCGTCGGTAGCATCGGCAGTTATCTCCGTGCCGTGGCGTGTGCCTCTGATGGCGGTTTTGGCCATAGTCTTAGGCAATTCCAAGATGGTGGATGGGTTAACTCCGGTTGCTAGCTCCAGACCCTTTCCAACTGATCCAAGTACAGCATCTCTGCCTGCAGACCGCGCCGTACGCAGGCCTCTGTCCACTGCGGAAACACCATCGCTAATGGTCTTCACCGGGTTTGTTACGATGTCCAACAACCCGCGAGTCGCCAAATCAGATTCTTCATCGGAGTCAGCGGTTGGTGGTGGAGGTTTGGCATGAGCAGTCAGTGCCTGAGAGGGAAAGTATAATTAGAACAGCGGGCTGATTATTGAAATTGGTAGACAAAGCGATAGACAAAGAAGACGTAGGGAGAATGAAGCGAGCATATTGGTTGAAATGGTTGGTTCCTGCAGACTGAGGAAAAAAATGATGGACTAGCAATCGGGTCTCTCGTGGGTTGCCGTTCGTTAGTCTATTACCTACGTCCTTTGTCCATTGCAACCACCCGTTTCCCTTAATAGGATGCCTCCATATTCCTGTCGTCTTCTTTGTCTGTAGCTTTGTCTATCAATTTCAATAATCGGCTCGCAGGTTTAATCTTCGTGTGACGAAGGAGAGAGCTTCAAAACTTTCTTAGACTGCTAGTTTATTTTGGCATTTCACATTTAAGGTGATTCAATGGACACCATATTTTATGGCAGAACGGCATGCAATAAATCGCATCAATTGGTTCCATTTTTTCAGCTACTCGTCATTTTTCTCAAATTTTGAAGTCGCAATTCTGTTGTCAAGAGACTAAAGCTCTCACTTACCAATTTTAGCAAAGAAATTCAACGTAATAAAGGCGTGGTTTTTTTAGGAGGGAAAACGTCGCATTCGATACTGATATTGAAACTGCACTCGAATGCGATAATTTCTCTTTAAAAAAACCACGCCTTTATTACGTTGAATTTCTTTGTTAAAATTGGTGAGTGAGTGCTTAAGTCTCCTGACAACAGAATTGCGATCTCAAGATTGGAGAAAAACGACGAATAGCTGAAAAAATGAAACCAATTGATGCGATATATCGCATGCCGTTCTGACACAAAATATGGCGTCCATCGAATCACCTTAAGCTGATAGTACATCTACATTGATAAATCGCATTTAGAAAAAAATATGTTAGGAGCCGCTTTGGAATCAACTACTTGTAAATTTTCTTCTGTCTAACTAAAATTTGAAGTCTAGAAATTCTTGAACGTAAAAATAGGGTTAAACTTCGTCTTTTTTATTAAGTTTTATGGAAGAGAAAAACTTCAAACCTTTTTTTCTCGGTTCACACTTGACGAGACGCGATGAAATTCTATTGATCACGGTCCAGTCTTTGTGAAAAAGATTTGACAGTCAATCGATATTTAAATAATCAGATATTAAAATATGATAAAATATTTATTCAATTCATCCGATCGAACGAATATTAATTTTTTTCAAATATTCATATAATTAAAGTCATGCTGAGTTGCAGTGGAAATTTTCATTAATTATTTTACCTCGATATTGTTTAAAATATAGTTCTAAACGTATGACCCACAAAAAAATTACAACAAGTCGAAATAGACAAAACTATTTTTTATGATCACTCAGGAAAAGTATTTAAAAAATGCTTAAAGTTTATACATCATCAAGTATTGAACGATCGATCAACGACTCATTTTTGTCACTGCTGTGAATCCACTACCCACTTGAGAGTCTAAAAGTTAAAATATCAATCGCCTCCTCTTGAAATATTAGTTGTCTCTTAAATCTCAAATCATGAGCCAATCAAAATTACAATATTGCATCCATTTACTCATCCCAAATCTCTCTCACAAATCTTGATTCAAACAAGAAATTGTCAGAAGTCGTAATATAACACCTCGATAGTTAAGTAAACGGTCAGGTATGTAGTTTTGTCTTTAACAATATATACTTCAATAAATGTCTGCAGACAAGGAGAAGCTCCTTCAATTTCAAATGATACCATGCAGCACCGCAGAGATGGTTTAGTTGCATCCAACCTCAAGCTTCCATTTATTAGGTCGTGAACGTATCGATGAAAAGAATGTCTTAAAATTGTCTTATTAAGTTTTAAGAGCGTGCTATAATGAAAATACGAAAAACTATGGTTTTACATTATCCTTCCCCATAATGAATCGGTTAGAGACTTAACGATTTTTCGTAAAGTCAACAATTTTGTAATAAAGCAAGACGCTCAACGAACATGGAAAGATCCAAGAATCGAGCAATATCTTTGTCATAAAGAAATTTCCTTTTTGCATAGGTGTTGCCATAGAGAGAGAGAGTAATGTATTAAACAATTCCAATGTTCTTTTTTAGAAAATGAATGTTTTATATAAAATAATATACTAACCTGCACAGCCAACACTGCTAAAACGCAAAGAAACGAGGGTTTTAACGCTTTTATGAACATTTTTACTGTTACACTGCCACATCCAAAACTGATCCGCTAATTTATACGTGGTGAAAACATGAAAAAACTATCCGACAGGGGGGTTTGGTACGCACGTCACAGTTGGTTTTGCCGACTTTTGACTCACGCGCGTTCGACAAGCATTTTTAATTGCATGATTAGAACAGCGGTGCCGTATTTGCGGATTTCCGCTAATCTTGAAAAAACGTATCACTGCGTAACCAATCAATAATGCTTTAACTGGAGATAATTTCTACACCGCTTCTTTCTTCATGTAGTAAAAGACTTGTTCGAAATTCGTTTTAGCGGCCTTTTAAGTTTTTTTAATTTTGATTGGCATCGCTGGAAAGAAAACAAATCAATCCACTCGTGAAGGTTCCATTACCTTGATTTTTGGCTCAAATAGTTTCCGTAGAGAATCGCTGGGAAATTCCTCACTTCACCTGAACCTTAATTGCTGAAATTCTGCACGCAAGTAATACAGTTTTTCCGAAAAGCCTCCGCACTTTTCTGGTCGAGTGTTCTGTGCGTACACAAAAACTTCTGCATACTCGTACATAATGTAGTAGAAGCTTGTTCATTGCCCTTATAACAAAGATTATAATATTGGTTTTGTATGACAGATCCTACTTGGGTTAGTGTCCCGTCTATCAGACATGTGTATAAGTCAATTCAACATCATAAGACTGAAACAATTTAGATCAACCTGTACTATATCAATACATCAAGGAAATACGATAAAAAAGTCACCAAGCACAAATCGTTGGATTTTTCTTCAGTTTAAAACCAACATGACACCAATGGATTGTTTTCGGTCACTGTTACGGTATCCAACTTTCGGTGAAATGGAGGGAAGTTTATTCTGTCCACAACTTTCCCCCAGTGTTGCCACAGTTTACGGAATGTTCAAGGTATTTTACAGAGACAAGTTCTACAAATGTGTAAGCTTCGAAGCTTACGAGCGGACGGAATACTGCCGTGCTAAGGAAAAACGCCGTATGTATCTTCACCCGTTGCCAGATTTCTTTTGACAAACACTATATTTGGGGAAAAATTTTCAAGTATTTCTCCTTTGATTTTTCAGATAATTTTGTTCGCGCTTTGATCTAAAACATCTGAGAATTTCCAAGAATAATACTTATAACTTTCTTTAAAAAGAAATAATTACCAAGAGGAAATTCGGCAACATTCGGAAGCTCATACGGCGTTTTTTCTTAGCACGGCAGAATAGTCAAGGCTCATGAGTTTTGGATGCTGCATCGCTGAGCAACCCTTCAAAGGGGTGGATCACTCGCCCACTCTGACAAACTTTGTTTCATGCTCCATCGGAGCCCGGATCAACTCCTGACCGTTGCGTCGGAACTCCCATCTGTAATCACTGATAAGTCTATTCGCAAATCCCCTGCAATATATGCCATGGATAGGTCCTTTTTCGAGGATGAATAGGACGGCGACTTTTCAGAATCATTACCGGCAATCGGTAAGTTATTAGAATTGACCGAGCACAGTGGGGATGGAGCCCAATTAAAACTCGGCTACTCATGCTCATGCCATGAGTTTTGTTAACCCGTAAGTCGCAATCTGGGCGGTATTAATACTTTCGTACTGTGGCGGAGTTGAACTGAATCGTGAGTTGGACGCTATTGTATAGTTCATCAATTTATTCCAGTCTATTGTTCTTATTAGAACTTACGTAGATTCATGAAGAATCTAATAATCTTACACTAAATTTGTATTTATTTATTTTTAATTTTCAATTAATGGATTACTGCACCGTACACCCTAATTATCAGACCATCATTAGTATTCTTGCTATTAATCGAAACATTCTGAGGTAAGCATGTTTTAATACAGAATCTCAATTGATTGCTAACTCTTTCGTTCTGAAATTAAAAAAAAAAAAAAAAAAAAAAAAAAAAAAAAAGGAGAAAATGTTGTAGATGTGATTAAATTATTAAGGTATATTCGTTAATCTGTAAATACCTCAAATGATCCCCACGCGAAGATGTAGGGGAATATTATCGACAGAATGTTCATCAGTGACTGTATTGCCGTGCTTAGGAAGAACGCCGTATGAGCCCACATAAGTTCCTATATTTTACTCAGTAAACCAACGAATTTACCGGAAAAATTTTGAATATTTTTCTTCGACTTTTCAGACGATCATGTTCGCAATTCAATCTAAAATATCTGGGAATTTCAAGAAAAAATATGGGTAACTCCTCTCGAAAATACATGTTTTATCCGGAGGAATTCGGCAACTCTTAAAAGGTCCTTACGGCGTTCTTCCTCAGCAGCAAGGAAATATATCCGTGGCGTGCAGGGAGTGCAGGGACGATTTTTGTCTGGCGCTAAGAAACATGCTCATTGGACAGAAACCCGATGCAAATATTTGTCGTAACTTAAGAGGTTCTGACTGGGAACGGATCGTGCGGGGTCGGAGTTACGGGGGTCAGGTTGAATGCCCCATCACCCCCCCCCCGGTTGGCGAATGAGGTTGGGAGTTTGAATGCGCGGATCGATCGCTCCAAACAATCTCGATTATGCCCTGATGTTTTCTTTCGTTTATTGTCACATATTCCGCGGCGCCAGTTAGCGGATTGGTGCAGAATCTCGGCGTGCGGTAGCGGGAGGAATTTGCAGGGTTTGTGGGTCATATTGGCAGCAGTGCTCATGAATATGTGCAGAAAACAGGTCATTGCATATTGCTTGGAGAGCACGCGGGCGGCAACCTAACCTTACCGCTTTCGGTGCTATAGAGATTTTTGGATTGCTAAGAGTGACCCCTTGGTTGCTACGTGGCCGATCTCGTTACAAGGGATCTGCTCCCTTCGATCCCTTCTGCAACAGTAATACATTTTGGTTGGGAGATGAGAATTTAAGGGTAGCGGGCTCCTAGCCGATATCCAAAAAATCACGTAAATCGACCAGTTAGATTTTCAAATGGACGGATTTCTATCAAACGGAACTAAGCGCCAATTTGAGTTCCTTTTAAGGAATTTAGAATCCCGGATAGCGCGTTCTGTCAAACGGACCTAAGCGCCATGGAAAAGCATTGTGAGTATAGGACGGAATAAGCCGGACGCCCGATTCCGCCGCCAATCCAAGCCCCCCTCTACCTTCCTCACCCTATGGCGCTTAGGTCCGTTTGATAGAAATACGTCCAAATGTCGGAAAGAGGAAGTTTAAATACGTGAGACTAGTTCGTACAATTTTGACCGATCTCATTATCAAAATATTAAACAGTCGAATGTTTCTGACTGTAATACTCAGCAAAAATGTAGAATTTTATCAGCACCTTTCAGGCATTTATCAAAACCTTCGATTTGACTGTAGGCTTTTATTCAGAATTGAGCTCCTCGTCCGTCAATCTAATATCAATCTGGTGTGAAAGTTGAAGTTTATTGATTCAAAATGTTTAACGAACTTAAAAAAATTACTGTCTATTTACGCAAATCTTTTGATATATTATGAAAATACACAAATATATTAGATATTAAACCATATGCCCTTCAGGATTAAATCTAAAAGTCGCATCAACATGAAGTTATCTGGTTAGGCTCTAGCAAGTTACGAATGGACGTCGTCAGAGTGCACTGAAAAAAAAAATCTTGGTGTATTTACTAAGAAAAAGGTAAAATTGCCAAGGATTCAGGGTTCTATTTGATTCCAGTTTTTTCTTGGTAAAATTACCATTTATGGAATTGGTAATTTTACCGAGAATCTCAGTAAAATTAATGAGCTTTCTCGGTAATTTTACTGGACCTTGGTAAAAAGGCCAACATTTTTTATCGACTGTAGTAAAATTACCGAGATAAAATGGCCAAGTTACCGGGAATTGATTACCAATAAAAGTGGTATTCTTACCTGAAAAAAAGCAGTAAAAATACAGGTTTTTAGGTAAGCTTTCCAGTCTGTCTTGGTAAAATTACCAATAATTGGTAAAAAAAAGTGAGATGGTAAAGGTACCAACGGACCTTGGTAAAAACGCCGAGAATTTTTTTTCAGTGTGGAATCAGCAGAAAGTCTTCCGTCAACATATGAAACTGATTCCTTCAGTGTTGTATAAAGTTATTTGTTTCCAACAAGCCAGACGATGTCTTCTAGGACTCAATAAGTGACATCGACGCTGGGTTTCAAGGCAGCTCGAGCCATCTTTGAAACTTATTCTTGAGGCGAAGAGTATGCATTGGAGCCGCCGCTGCGCTGCTTGTCTGAAAGGAACTGCAGTATTTATCCACGAGGAAACTTTAAATTGAGCGTGAAATTGTAGCCGCGTCGAGAGGCAAGGCCTGAATAAAATTTAAAATGCAGATCACCCGAATTGTTCTACGAGAACTCCTAACTTTCCCGATCGAAGAACTTCGAGAGCTGCGGTGAAACGTGTATCACTTATTTCTTCTTGCTCCGCGACAACTGATTTCTTATTCCACTCGGTATGATGAAGTACGATGTATTGTATCTCTACAATTTTATAGAATTGGAGGGCGTGAAACTAAAATTTTTCATAGGAGAAGGAAGGTTTTGCAAAAATGGTCCAAAAATTGCAGAAAATGGTCATTTGTGGCGAAATTCTGGGTTGTGGATCCCCATACTCTTCTGAACTTATATTCATTGGCGGATCTAGCAAATGGGCAACATTGTCTTTTCTCCATTTAAACCTATAGAAATGTATCGATCCTTGGAGGGGTAAGGTGCTCCGACAAGAATCGATTACTTAGCATAGGTTTAAATGGAGGAAATCCGGTGTTGCCAAATTACTGGATTCGCCTCTGCTTATATTTATGTCTGATGAGTCCAAGGCACGGTTTTATCAATTTAATGAAAGGAAGAGTATAAAAATGTGAATTGGATAAACGAACCATTATGATGCACCAAAAATAATCTTGGCAAGTAATTCCACTGTATTCATTTCAAGTTAAACCCAAGAGTAAACCTAAAACCATCTCCCACACAGATCTGACGATACATCTGTGCATCTGTTTATTATTATTTTTTTTTCAAGTTTGATGACTGCTAAAACTGCAGCCACCACTGAGACTTCGAG